GCGCCGCGCGGGCCCACGAGCACCTGCAGCTCCAAAGGTTGTTTACAAACGTCACTATCTTTAAACGGGCTGGTTTCCCGCTTCTGAGCCGCTCCCAGGTGACACATCTATATAAAGGGAGAAACGACCCCCTGCCTGAACGCGGCAGGGTTTTGGAGGGGCTGTGCGCGCTCCCCGCGGCGTGCCCGCGCACGGCTGCGAAAAGCGTGCCGCGTCGGCAGGTACAACACCGCTAGCGTTTTGAAGCCTGCGTATTGTCCTCACCGCATTAGCTGATTTACTGTTACAACCGGGAAAGTCGGAACCCGGCTGTACAAAAGCAAGCACTTCTGAACATTGGCTAACCAGAGTTTCAGAGGGGAAAAAAAACAAAAGACCAAAACACAAACAAACCCTGGTGTTTTTATTTTTCCCTTGACTGGGTCAAATTACAGCTAGACAGCTACGACTACACAATGCACAGAAGAGCAGCAGAATCACACGAACCCTTCCAGCTCCCGGTGTGACGCTGCCCGTGGGTTTGCGTTTCTTGGCAGCTTCCGCGAGTTGCTGCGCCTGTCCCACTTTTAAAGAATCGGCCAAAGATTCGTACATTTTTTTTAAGTTTTTCGTCACATAAATTCACCTAGCACCTCCGCTTCCGAAGACAGACCCCGGTCTTCGAGCTCTGGGGTACGGGGCTCCCGCGGGGTTTTCCTCCGCGGTCACGGTGCAGCGGGTTTGGCTCGTTTCGCTTCGAGTTGGAAGCGTCAAACCGCCGGGAGCTGCTGCGCCTTATCGCGGCCTCTGGCTAAACCGAGCTAGATTCGGCGTACAAGAAGCAGACCCGAAGGATGATTAATTTAAGAAGTATTCTTTCGTTAATTTTCAGGCCAGAAATCTGTTTGGGTGATTTGTCAGGAAATAAACATATGAAACCCTCCCCCTCCTCTGCTAGCGCAGGCACACCTTCGCGAACTCGCCCTCCCCTGTCAAATCTCATCCAGGTTCAAGCTTCTGTCGTGAAGGGTTTTCGGGGGGTGGTTTTGTTTTCGCAAATTAATTGTCTGTGGAGTCAGAAATGTCAGTCCTGTCACTCCACCAGCGCGTAAAGCAGCGGAGGCTGCGGGAGCTCCGATAGACCTGGCTGCTTGAACGGCCTTTGAAAGAGGGTTCATCACCGCCCTGCCCACCCCCCACTCCACCCCCACCTCCCGTCCCACCAGCTTAGGTTCACAGCCTCTGTAGACTCCCTGCTGCCTACTCATGGGGATCCTGTTCCTCCCTTCCCCTTGCCTTACAGCAGAACCTATCTCTGCCAGACAGCCAGCTCTGCGACCCCACGTCCACAAGCAGCCCGAGAAGACCACCCGAGTCCGGACTGTCCTTAACGAAAAACAGCTTCACACCTTGAGGACCTGCTACGCTGCCAACCCCAGACCTGACGCCCTCATGAAGGAGCAACTGGTAGAAATGACTGGCCTTAGCCCGAGGGTCATCAGGGTTTGGTTTCAAAACAAGCGGTGCAAGGACAAAAAAAGGAGCATCATGATGAAGCAACTCCAGCAACAGCAACCCAATGACAAAACTGTAAGTGGCTTCTGCCTCTGAGCGTGCTTCCCAGGGAGCAGCGCCTGGGCTGTGTTCTGACGGGAGCTTTTGGCTTTGCGGGAGCTCCCTTAAAACAAAGAAAAACGATACGACGTAGCCGTTATCCGCTCGCTTCTGCTGTCAGTGAAATTAAAACAGAGCACGGCGAGAAGCCGGTACAGGCGGCTCAAGGGAACACACGTCTTTTGGTGGGGCTGAGGTCAGACCAGCTCCTCTGCAGAGAGCTGACGGGGCTGGACGAGCCCAGCCTTGTGCAACGTTCGTGTTGCAGAGGCGAAGGACTCCTGGAGGGGAAAACGATTCTTCACCCTCTTCAATTGTTTTACGCAGGGGTAAACCCAAAAGTAAAACTCACCAGTAGGAGGGAAATTTGATGTATTTTCTTAGCACTTTATGGACCACAACGTGTGTGTGTGTGTTTGTCAGTGCACTTACCATAGAAAAAGACAAATGCAAAGCAAAGTTTTCGGAATTACCGTCGTCTTTACAGGTTATTTAAAATGTATGTAGTTCTTGCGCAGAAATATACTGAGTTATTCTCTGCGGACATGTGCACGTGTGATGCAAACCAGCGGAAA